TACCAAAAAGAATTTTTTTTTAGCAAGCAGCTCCATGAACTGCAAGGGCTTCTTTTTTTTTTTTTGTCCTTTTTGAGACCGGCCGCTCTGCGCCCAGCCAGTGAGCACTGTGAGCGCACCGGTCTTCCCTATATAGGATCCGAAACCGCAGCGGGAGCGCTGCTGCGCTCCCAGCGCCGCACTCTCCCGAGTGCGCCATGGGCTTGGCCCTGCAAGGGCTTCTGAACCAGCCTTCCCGGTTCTGCCCATCCTGCCTCTCATCCATCCTCCCCAGGGCCAACTTGGGTTGCTCTTTCCGAGTCTATCTGACCATGCTGTGCCCTGGCCAAAACTCTCCAGCAGCTTTCTCCTGCTCTACAGATAGAGACCTACAAAAAGAGAACACAAGTACTCCTCCCTTTGAGAGAGAAACATATAAAGTCAGATCAAAATCTGCCATTAAGAAAGGAATTCACTTTAGTTAAAGGGAAACTATTAGGCACAACATACTTGGACTCTTAAAGGATTTTGTTGATTGAGATGCTGAGCTATAAAATATCTCCATCTGGGGTGATGAGAAAATAAATTTACAACCCAGTGATCAAAGAACATAATTGAACTAAGTATGTAAGCTGCTGGTCAACTTAAATTTGATGTATGATTAAACATCACCAGTTGTTATTGTTGAGTTTGCCTCTCTTTATCACTGCTTTGTCCATGTCCCATGGTTGTGTGGGGTTTTTAAAAACGATATAATTTACCCACTTTAAGTGCAGAATGAAATCAGTTTTGGCAAATGTCCTTTCAGGCCCCTTTTTAGTCAAGCCCCTCTTCCCACACCTCAAACCAGGCAGCCACTGATTTACTCTTTACAGATTTCTTTGCCTTTTCTAAAATTTTATGTGAATTGGTCATACCATATTTATTATTTTGTGTCTGGCTTCTTTTACTTACCATAACATTTTTTTTTTTTTTTTTTGTCTTTTTTTCCGTGTCCGGCAACGGATCGCAACCCTCAGTGTCGCCCCCATACCGGACCGGGACCGGCAACGGGATCGCAACCCTCGGTGTTGCTCCCGTGCCTCACTCAGCCAGTGAGCGGGAACCGGTCTGTATGTGGGATCCGAACCCTCGGCGGGAGCGCCGCCGCACTTCCCAAGCGGCGCACTATCCAGTGCGCCACCAGGCCGGCCCTTACCATAACATTTTTGAGAACCATCTATATTATTGCGTGTTTCTGTAGTTCCTTTTTACAGCTCAGTAGTATTCTTTTGTATAGATAAAATAAAATTTATCTTCACCACTCAATAAACATTTGAGCTGCTTACAGTTTGGGGCTATTATGAATAAGGCAGCTATGAATGTTCATGCATAAGCCCTGCGTGGACATATGCTCTGTCCCCTACCAAAAAAATGACAGATTTCTCTGTGGTGCTTCCTGCCATTCCATGCAAAAAACAAGTATTCTCCTGCTGATGGTTTGATTTACTACAGAAGCCTGTCTTTCCCATACGAAACACACACACACACATACATGCACTGAATTGTGAATCATGAGTTAGATAATTGTAGGAAGTCATAAAATGCGACTAGTGAAGATTTTCTTTTCTGTAACTTTCCCTCACAATCTCCCAAACAACAGGCAGAGCATGGCACAGGCATTTTGACACTTATCTGTCACAACAGCCTTGGGAGGAGGTAGTACTGTTATTCCCATTTTCCAGATGGGAAGCTGGGCTCATGTGGTGGGGAGGAACGGCCCAAGGTACACCCACCTCAGGGTGCATCAGGGTCAAGACACATCCCAGGGCAAGGGCTTGAGGAACTGGCTCTACCACTAAGTCCTAGACCCTCCCTGGGTCTCAGTGTGACGATTCACTTAGCATCATAGACCTCTAAGACTCTTCTGGAAAGTCCTGATGTCAAATATTCTGCTCCAATAATCAAGACATCCAGGAGATGCCAGTATTTGGCCCAACCACAGCAGAAAGTCAGGACAAGAAGCCTTGCATGGGAACCAGGTGGGAAGCCTCATTAACGGCTGGCCCACATGCCCGTGAAGTTACTTTGGGCTTCACCAAGGTGGACAGTTAGAGCCTGACCCCTGAGGGGCCAAAGAAACAAAGAGAACAAAAGCAGCCATTTAATGGCTCTGCAGGAGAGAGAAGGAGACATGCGGTTTTGCTCCAGAGAGGAAGAGGGTGAGGGGAGAGGGAAAGAGGGCTGGGAAATGGAAGCATCAGGAGACCAGAGCCAGGAGCTGGTGATGGAAGGCTGTGTGCTGTCGGGCCAAGACAAACCCTCCACAGCTGGGGCACCAGACAGTGCCCATGGATGGAGAACGTGGACACTGAAGCCCTCTGTGTGTCTGTAAAGTATGCCTTTCCTCTCACCCTCCTGCAGGTTAGCAAGGTTTGTTGAGGTGGGGGAGGCTGTGGGGAGACTAGCAGAGATGAAGGGTTAAGACTGAAATGTGAATACTACTGTCTTAGTCAGTTTTGTGCTGCTGTAACAGAGTACCTACAATGGGGTAATTTATAATGAACAGAAATTTATTTGGCTCATGGTTCTAGAAGTTGCAAAGTCCAAGATCAAGGTGCCACATGTGGGGAGTGTCTTCTTGCAGCACCCAGAGTACCTACAATGGGGTAATTTATAATGAACAGAAATTTATTTGGCTCATGGTTCTAGAGGTTGCAAAGTCCAAGATCAAGGTGCCACATGTGGGGAGTGTCTTCTTGCAGCACTGTACCATGATGGAAGGCATCTCATGGTGAGGCAGTGCACAAGAGAGGGCAAGAGGGGATCGAACTTGCTTCTTATCAGGAACTAACTCTCATGATAACTAACTCACTATCATAATAATGGCATTAATCCATTTGTGACAGCAGAGGCCTCATGACCTAATCATTCTTACAGGTTCCACCTCTCAACACTGTTGCAGTGGAGATTTGTTTACAACACATGAACTTCAGGGGACACAAGGTTTATAGCAACTATGCAGCACACTGTGGGCAAGTAGGCCCCAGAGCCCAAAATCATGCAAAATGAGAACTTATAGAATCTGCAGGCATACTGAGAAGGGCTTGGGACTTCCTCAGAGATTCAGAATGGAATTTCAGCTGGTCTTATCAAGACCCCAGGCAGCTAACACAGAACACCTGAGGGAACAGGGGCTGGAGAAACACTTGAGGACACACCTGGGCAGAAGGGATAGGAATAGAAGCACGAGCTTGGGAGCCAGACTGTCTGGGTTTAAAATACTATCTCCTGCAAGAGATAAAGAGGGACATTTTATAATAATAAAAGAGCCAATCTATCAGAAAGAGGTAAAAGTTTTAAAAATATATGCACCTAACAAGAGGGCAACAAAATATGTGAAGCAAAGACTGACAGAAATAAAGGGAGAAGTAGACAAACAGTATTAGACACTTCAATACCCCACTTTCAATAACGGACAGAACCAGGCAGAAGATCAGCAAGGAAACAGAAGACTTAAACAACACTGTAAACCACTTTATCTAAGACATTTATAGAACACTGCACCCCAAAACCACAGAACACACATTCTTCTCAAGTGTACATGGAACATTCTCCAGGAAAGACCATATGCTAGGTCATAAAACCTCAATACATTTAAAAGGACTGAAATAATACAAAGTATGTTCTCTGAGCACAATAGAGTGAAATTAGAAAATAACAGAGAAATTTGGGAAACTCACAAATATGTGTAAATTAAACAATGTACTTCTAAATAACCAGTGAATGAGTTGAAGAAAAAAATCACAAGGGAAATTAGAAAATACTATGAGGTGAATGAAAATAACCCAAACTTATGGGATGCACCAAGAGCAGTGCCTGAAGGGAAATTCATAGCTATAAATGCCTATTTTTTAAAAAAGAAAAAAGGCTTCCAGTCAAGATAGCGGAATAGACAGTCCCCAGCATCACTCTCTCCCACAAATCAACCAATTTACAACTATAAAAAAGCAATGACAGCCAAGCTGGGGCTGCTAGAGCCCAGGGGAAGAGGAGAAGAGACCTACAGAGTAAGAGTGCATGAAGGTGGGAGAAGCCACAATAAGAGAAAGAAAAAACGGCTCCAACCGTTTCAAATCCCAGCCATTTCCAAGCTGGAGCTGCTGAGTGCACAGAGCAGGAGCTGGCAAAAAGCTGCAGCTGTGCCTTTCAGATGAAGTTGCTTGGAGGCAGCAGGGGAGAAGAGGGCCTTTGTCAAGGCCCACAGGCCAGCAAGACCACTAATAGGACTGAGGAGCCACAACAACTGAAAAAAAGAAGCCACTCAAAGGCCAGTGAGTCATCAGAAGGGACCAGAGCACAACCTGTCCCATGGGAAGTCTCTGGAGCACAGGTGGCGGAGAAGACAGGCCCACCAGGGGAATACTGGGGCACAGCAAGGACAGCTGATCTGCTCCCCACTCAGCGTAGGATCATTCAGAGGAGACTGGTCAGGAATATAGAATTGCATGGGGTGCAGTTTGATGAAAAGACTCAGGCCCAGACCAAAGTTTCTATACAACCCTGGTGCACTGGATTTCACTAGAACCGGAAGTCCTATAAAGTCAACCATTAAAACCTGAGCAGCACAAAAAGCCTTCCCCAGGGAATTAGCATCAAAGCAGCATTTTACCTCAGCCACAGAGCTCAATTACTGGTCCCCACAGGACATTCCCCCATTTTAGAAGCAAAGGACAACAAATTAGTTCCAGTGCAGAGTTTGAGTGGAGGGAACAGCAAATAATCCAACAAAGACCTGAAAGAAAAAACAAAGTTCGACACCAGAGACAAAGTTTGATATTAACTAGTAAAGGTCTTGTTTCACCAAAGAACACCTATAACACCTAGAAGGACCAGAAGTCCCCCGGACTACCAAGCCAGAAACAGGGGAGGGCCAGGGACCTCAGCCATGGCCCCCCAACACCTGTAACCAGTCCTGAGGGTGGCAGCCTTGGGCCTCAGCCACATCCCCCCAACAAGCACAACCACTGCAGTGAAGACCATCAAGCCACCACAGGAAGCGCCTCAGGCTTTGCCGAGCCTGGGCAGTGGGGCAGGAGGTGGAGGGGGGCCTCGGTCATGCTCCCCCCAATACAAACAACCAGCCCAGCAACAACTACTGAGCTGCAGCAGGAAGTGTCCCCAGCTCTCCAAGGCCAGAGCAATGTGGGGCTGAGGGCCTCGGCCACGCCCTCCCCCACACCCACAGCCAGCCCAGCAACGACTACCAAGCCACAGCAAGAAGGGCCCCGGTTCCAGAGCTGGGGAGGTGGGAGGTGAGGGCTTTTTCCACACACCCTGACATCACCCAGCCAAGCAATGACCAAGTCATCGCTGGAAGCCCCCTGGTCTCCCCTGTGGGAATGTGGGGGGAGCCACAGAACTCAATCCCACACCTCCTTCTTCTTCCATCACATTTCCTTCCCCTTTCCCCTCTCCCCCTCAGTCCCAACTGCTCTGCAACAACATCATAGAATGTAAAAAAATAATATTAATAAAATTAAAAATAAATAAAAGAAAGGAAGAAAGAAAAAAGATTTCAAATTAAGACACTGGAAAAAGAAGAAAAGAACAGCAAACTTAACCTAAGCAGGAGTAAAGAAATAATAAAGATTGGAGAAAAATTAATCAAAGAGAGAATAGAAAAACCATAGAGAAAATTAATAAAAACAACTTTTAGTTCTTTAAAAAAAACTGACAAACTCTTAGCTAGATTGATCAAGAAAAAAAGGCAGAAGACTCAAAATTACTAGAATCAGAAAAGGGGGGCCGGCCCAGTGGCGCACTGGAGAGTGCGCCGCTTGGGAGTGCAGCAGTGCTCCCGCCAAGGGTTTGGATCCCATGTGGAGACGGGTTCCCGCTCACTGGCTGAACGCGGTGCGGGTGCAACACCGAGGGTTGCGATCCCATTACCGGTCAGTAAAAAAGACAAAAAGGAAAAAAAAAAGAAAGAAAAGGAGGAGGGGGCATTACTACTAAACTTAGAGAAATAAAATCCTACCTCCGGGGCCGGCCCGGTGGCGCACTGTGCTAGTGCGCCGCTTGGGAAGCGCGGAGGCGCTCCCGCCGAGGGGG